CAATTTATAGCTTGACATTGTTTTGTTCATAATATATTATACTACATAATCTTTAATTTATAATATATATAAAAGTGTCAATATTTCCGGAACATTTTCAAATATTAGGTGAATGGTCTAGTTTCTATTCACATGTTTATAGTTTTAACATCCTCAGTATAAAGGAAAATGGTCCAGTCAAAAAAAAAGTATGTCGGATGAAAGCGTTATACAAAAATTATTTATCCTAAAAAATTAGTATTGATCCTTACATGTTTTAAAAAGTTTTAGCAAAATAAGTTAAAAAGTGTAAAATATACAATCAAGAATTTTTCAAAAAAATAGCTATTATTAAATATGGCAGTCATTTTCATCTTTAAGACAAGTCCAAAGGACAAATTATTTTTAAAATTAAAGTATATTACATAAGATTTAATTTAAGATATTTATAAAAATGACAGTATTTTCGAAACATTTTCAAAAGTAAATTTTTTGTGGAAATGTTGCCATTTTGTAACCCCCCCCAGTGGTCAGGTAAAAAGTAAAATGTTTACAAAAATAGATCAAATGATAAGTGAATATCTAAGGTATCTATAAAAAACAAATAATGTTGAATTGTTCATTTTTAAATAAGTTATGACAGTTTTAAGAAAAAAAAAATTGAATAATTTTCGATAATTATCGATTGTTAAAATTGTAATTTTTTGGGGGATTTCCTCATCTACTGGGAACGAAAGATTTTTTTCAATGTCTTCAACTAGATATAATTTGTGAACTTATGACGTATTGTTCATCAAAATCGGTCCAGTGAGATCTGAGAATGAGTGGTAACAGTTACAAAATAAATAAATAAAAAAACACAACATATTAAAATAAATATCTTTTCAGCTTCGCATTGAAGCAAAAATACAACTTTTTTGATTAAAAAAAAATAGAATTTTACAAAATGTTATAATACACAACGATTATAAAAAATGACCAAGCAAAATATCAAGAGGCAACTCCCGCTTTTGCACCCCTTGTGGATAACCATGAATTCAGTATTGTTAAAAAAAATGTTTAAAAGAAATATAAACTGTTTAAAATGTCCGTCCTATAAGACCAATGTTAATTTTGTAATTTTACGTTACAACCCTTTTGTATATAGTAAAAATCTAGACGGGAATAGTATTTTGTTGTACCCAAATAATTATTTTAGAGCCGTTTCCTTTTAAAATTATAATTATGTTAAGAAAATTATTTTTGGTTTTTTTTTAGTTTCATATATTTTTTGATTCAATAGATATTAGTTACTTTTTTAATTTATCCCTTATACCTTACAAAGGTGTCAACTTCAATTTGTTTTATAGCAACACACATATTTGACTAGTTTATAAAATAACACATGATCTAATTAAGACAATTACTAATCAATAACAACTACTAAAATAGTACTTTAGAAGTCATTAAATTTTTAAATAATAACACAGAGTAATATTATATTAAATATAACATAATTTACACCTTCCTCCTATTCTATATTTAAAAATAGTTGTAACTTTCGAAAAATAAAAATACGGGATGAATTAAAAATGTATTTAATAGTTGATAAATCAAAAAACATATCAAATTAAAAAATACCAAAATTAATTTGTTTACCATACTTATTATTTTAAGAGAAATAGAGTAGTTAATAGAATATAGAAATAGTATGTTATAGTAGAATAGAAATAGAATTTAAAAATAACCACTCTATAATACATACATGGATCAAAAAAACGTTAGAAATATACACTTTTAAAAATTTGATCATATATTATGATACACGCAATGAAATATTTATTTGCATTTTTGTGATAATGGAGATTAAGCTATTAAACAGTGCCTTCCTTCTAACTCTGATAGGATAAAAATCATCCTGAATATTTTTTTTATTTCTTAGTGTTTTATATAAAAGGTTTTACAATTCACAGATTTAATAGTAAAAAATGTGTTCATATTCACGTTAAATACACATTTATACATGTTCAAAAATGTATATTTTAGCATATAGTTGATGAGTTAAACAAAGACCCAATTTCAAATCTATCTAAAGAGGGGTGTGAAATTTGTTCACCAAACCGAGCTCAATAACTATGTAACTGATTTAGATAATAATTCAATATCACAAAAAATGTCATTCTTCGCATTGGCAAAATTAAAAAGTATGGGAAACTACTTATTCATAGACAAAAGTAATAAAATAGTAAAGATGTAACTTTCTTTTTTTTTTGAAAAGGATAACTAACATAATTAAAAATTGTCCACTTTTATTTAAACCCCCTGGAAAAAATCATAGTTAATCCACTAATAATTAAATAATTGTTTTTTATGAGACAAAGAAATTACATAAATATTTTATTTCTTAATGATCAAAGTTGAAATAAATTTATTTATAAAATTACCTGGTTAGAAAATATTTCAATGAATTGGAGATTTCACGATGTGGTTTGGCGATACATAATGATAACCTGGTATTGCAAGTCCAGCTGTTTCCATAGATATCCTAAACAAACAATTGTCTTAAATTTTGATTACAAAAATGATAACAAAAACAAAGATAAACTAACCTTTACATATTATTTTCCTAATATAATTTTTTTGAGCTGATTTATAACATAAATTCACACAAGTTAAAGAACCACTGGTTTTGCATGCAACCTAAGATCAAATTATCAAAGGCAAAACTAGAATAAATAGGAAGGCAGTTTACCTTTTCAATAAAAAATCTTAAGTTGGGTAAATTATATTTTCTTATTTTCATTCAAACAAATATGATTTTGTGATGACTATTAAAAGAAAAAGTCATGCAACACTTACATTAAATTACAATTCACAAATTGACTTTATTGTCCTTTTATTAAAAAAAAATATGTTTTCGAGCTATTGAATTTGAGTATAATATTGCAAAATACTACTAAACATAACCAAAACAAGAATCTTCAAAAAAAATTTGAACAAATCAATGTAATATGCACAGATATCAATTTTATAAATATATTTTATTTTCGTAACATGCGTGTCTAAATTATAAGTTTGATTACAAGAGTTTTAAATCAATAAGTTTTATTTTAGTTTAAGAATCAGTTAATAACAAATATTTAATAAAACTATAATTTATTATTTTAACAATGATAACAATTGAAGTTGAAAACTAAAAGAAATTAATATTAGTGTTTCATTTTTAAATATAAAAGATAATGGCGGTAACTATATTTATTAGCCTACCGTAGGGTATTCAGAAACCTATAAGAGGATTTTGTTAACATTCCTTAAAAATAATTTATACCCCTTTTTTTTTGAACTGCCAAACAATAAAATTATTTTGAAAATGTTATGGCATATCGAATTTTTCTCTATTCGTTCACCAGTGGCATACACAAATATTTTCAAGAGAACTGTCACATATAATGATTTAATCGCCTCTTTTTGCACATTATCTGATAACATGATTCTCTCCTAGTTTAATCAAATATAGTAGATAATAATGATAATTATAGTATTCTAATTAATGTCAAAGTGAAGCCGGGATTAAAATTTTGTTCGTTTAATATTTAAATATACTATAAAGTTATTTAACTTGCATATTTGAGTTTAATATTTTATTCAACATTATTCAACAAAAACGTTTTATTATTTTGTGTTTTAAGTTTTTAATATTAAAATTGTTTTAATAAATATTATTGGAAATTAAAATACAGTTTAAAGATTTTTTTTTGTTTATTACATTTATATAAAAAGCATTAAGTCGATTAGTTTGTACAAAACTTCCCACCAAATTAAGATTTTTGTCTCTGTAAACAATTTAATAAATATATTTATATATAGTATACATTTTAATGGTTTCTAACTTTTTTTGGTGATTATTTATTATTTAGAGATTTTTTTTAGAGAGCCTACATTAAATTTTACTGGAACCACGAGTTTGTTAATAGATGTTTATATACCAAGAGCATTCTGAAATGTCTTTTAAATGAACATTTCAAAAATTATCTTACGTCGATTATTGAAAAAGCTAAGTTCATTAAAGTTTAGTGTAAAAATATGTTTTTCAAATAAATTTTTCAAATTTATAAAGTTAATTTTTCTTAATCATCGTATAATAATTAGAAAATATAAATTAAAAACAGAATAAATGTTTAAAAAAATACTTGTAATACCTGTTTAAAGGGGCGTGACATCCCTAATAAGCCACTGCCATTTAGCCTTCTGATTTTGGGGTTTACGCTGTGGCACATATTTTGAGTATCTATAGTCTGCTATAGATTAAATTATATACTTTTCTGTTATTTTTATTTTAATATTAACTATAAATCATTAAAAATATATTTTTAAGTTAAATAATATTTGAATTTACATAATAATTCCAAATTAATTAATTTAATTCAATAAAATTATTTTCAAATAAAAATACATAAAAGTATTGGCGTCAAATGTATATATATAAATATTTAACTAATTTATAAAATAAAAAATTTATAAATTAACAAAGAATAACTTGTAATACATATAAATAATTGAAATTTAAATTAATTTTATATAAGTATAAGTATGTTAAAATACTTATACTTATATAATATAACAATATTACTAGACAATTCGACAGTCTGTTAAATAAGGCACTTAAAGATGTTGTAATTCTAAGTTTAAACAATTATTTTTAAATATATTTTTTAATATTATATTATTATTTACATGTATACGCTAAAAAAATATAGATTCTAAAAAATATATCAAGGAGAGAAATATGTAATAGGTAACTTATTTAAATTCTTAAGAGATTTTATTAAGTTATATTAATCAAAAATTAGAAAATAATTTATTTTCTGAACATTAAATATGAAATATAATAGCATATTTAAAATGGCTGTGATATAACAACGATAAAACTTAATTTGTTAACTTTTCAAAACTGAAATTACAAAATTATTAATATATAAAAATGTATGCTATTAAATAAATATTTAACAATATAAGTAATCACATGTAATTGTTATATAATAAACCTCTAAATTTATTCTAAATATAAAAAAAATACTGAAGTATTTATAATTGATTCAATTTTTTCGCAACATTTATATCTTTTTTTTAAAATTAAATTCAACATTATATTGACGGACTAGCACACAAAAAACGTAAGTGATATTTTTTATAGCCAGCTATCTAAATCCGCTTATGCATAAATATAAAAATATGGTATACATGCATAGATGCAACTAAAACAAAAATTTTTAAGAAAGGGATAAATTAATTTGTCTACACCCTAAAAATTATTTTTTTAAATAATAAAAATAATCATCTAATTTTTTTATGGACACAATTTTTTGATAGGGTAGTTGCGCCTAGATAAACATGACTACTCATTATTCCGATTTTATAGGAAGTAATAACTAACAAAACATAACTAATAATGATTGAAGGTATAAATACAAAAGGGATCCAAGAAAAAGTTTAGCAACCCCAATTTTCTTTATTATGCATTTCTTTGAAGGCTATAAACAAAACAAAATATTAGAATTTTGGTTGGAATTCACACTGATTTTAGCATCCTTAAATTTAGATTGAATTTGAGCCATTGACAATGTTATTTTTATGTGCAACTGTCTCATTATAAGATTTATTGATATAAGTAAGTAGTCCGGTTTTTATTTTGAAAAAAGGTTCAAAAAAAAATATCGTCTATATGCTATTAAGTTTAAACTCTTAATTATAATGTAATTAAGAATATTTCGGGGGCTAGATCTCGTGGATCCCCCTGGTAACGTACAAATAAAATATTTAAAATTAATTTTATTTTTGTTGATCCCATTGTCAGTAAGGTGCAAATTTGATTCGGTCTGGTTTATGTTTGGCGACCGTCGGTTGTGGCGATAGCAATGTAGCAGCTACATTAGGATTATGATGGAAATGGTGCTGGACGGGTATTTCGGCCACAGTCATAAACTGATGATGATAGGTCGGCATCGTGTGGCTAGTAACAACTGATGATATTGGATTATTGGTAGTCTGGGTTGTTGTAGAAGTGGTTGCGGTAGAAGTTGCAAGCATATGAATGGGATACGAATACTGTTGCGAAGACAACACTAGTTGTTGCTGTTGGATTTCTGATTGTAATATTGAATTTCGCTGTATATCCAAGCTGTCAAGCCGGAATGGGTTGATAAATAAAACATAAATAATTTTATAAAGGAAAAACAGTAATTGAAATCATTAAGTATGAATTATTTTGCATTAGAAATATTAATATTAAGGAAGGTATTTTAACATACAAGTTGAAATTAATTAATTGAAATGTGCAAGGTAAAATTATTAACAGGTTACATAACAAAATAAAATCCAAATCTGAGTATAAATGATAGAATCATGACACATTTATGTTGTCAGTATTAAGAAAATAATTTACATATCAATACTCATTATTTTTTTTAAATTATAGAGGAACTCAACAAAAATACATTGTAAAAAAAAATTTTAGTGTAGGATGAATTGGGATAGATATAAACAAATAATGTAACAGTTCATAATTGTCCATTATAGCTTTAAAAATATTTAGCAAATATTACCAGAAAGACGCCCCAACGACGTGACACTTCACAGCTACTCGCGCTGCTTTGAATTTATTTATCTAATTTGATATGTTAATATATATTTTATTTCACAACAAATGAAGTTACATAACGTTTTAATAAAATTAAGATTTAACTAATAGTATACCCAGGATTTTTGAAATAGTAGAGGTTAATACCTATACTAGAACCTCAAGATATATTACTGGTTGGGTTTATATATTACTTAAAATATGAATAATAAAATGGCCATATTTTAGTCTACTTTTGTATGTGTTAAAAGATTCTTAATTTAGTTATTTTAAACATTAACTGACTGAACATTTAGTTATGGTGTTTATAGAAATATTGTTTATTTCTAATTTTTCATTTTGAAATTTTGAGCGGGAACGCATGTAACGTTACATAAATTAGGTATATCAAGATCAGAATCATTAAGTCCGTTAAAAATGTAAAAAAGATAGATATTTTATAATTTTATACAATATTTTAAATTTGAAAGTTTGATTTATTTTTTAATATTGTTTTTTTTTCTTCATATTTAGTAAATTCTTATGTTTCAATCTCGATTATTTTTGTTGATGAAAAATATATTTTCAGTGACTTATTTAGACAGAGGAACACAGGTCAAATGTTTCCTTCAGTGGTGGATTTAGGGGTAGGGTGCAAGAGGTGCGCGCCCTTTTCTTAAATTATTACAGCTTATAACACAAAAAAAAAAGCCTTTTGAATGACAAGATTGGCAATAAAAATTAATTTTGAGCTCTATAAATGTCTTGTACTCATAGAACATTTCTGGGTCTTCCATTGACAAATTTATACTATCAAGAATATTTTGGTTGGTCTCTTTCTTTTATTTTAAAATCAAGTAAATGATTAACAAAAACGTCAGTAAAAATTTTACAAAGAAAGGTATTGAAATTTTTTAATATCCTCATTAATGATATTTAAATATGCCTCTGCATATTTATAAATGTTTAAAATAAATATTTTTTGATCCATCCAGTTTTAATATTTGGAATATTAAAATTATTATAACGAGTAACACGAAAGTCTTATGACAGATTTTATGCTATGATGTTATTTATGTTTCCATATACGCATATATATTTTTTATTAATGTTTCTATTGGAATTTTGACTGACCCCAAAGATAGTTTTCAGAAAACATTAGGCGTTTGCCGAATAATGTGAGATGCCTCTTACATTGATATCGAACCTTTGAAAATTTTATGAAATATTGTTAAGCCTAACAAATGTTAGTCTCTTTGAAGTTTATCAGATGTATAATTTTGAATTTATATTTAGTTTCTTGTTTATAATAATTAAAAATGTTTTTTTGTCAGTTTTTTATTTTATTAGGAAGTGATTACTTTTTTGTTTAATTTTAGGTTCCTTACTTTTGCTTTATTCCTTTATGAATGATATATTTTTGTGACAAGAGATTGATTGATCTTTGAAAATGTTAAAAATTCTTTTGAGGATAATTTTTGAATAAGAAAAACATATTCTTACGTATCTTGAATATTTATGATAATGATTAAGCAAAACCAGACTAAAATGTTTTCGATAGTAAAGTGGAAATGTTATTTCACATGATATTTCATTACATCGCTTTTTACTTCCAAGTACCATTGGTGTACAATTCAAATTTGTCTCAAGATTTTATGAGGCACTAATTATTTGTCTCCTTTATTCATCGCAATTTGATAAAACTATTATTATAATTATAAATTATTATTAACAGTTTATGTGTGTATGCTATTTGCGTAAATATCATTCATTCATTGATATAAGGCGGCAATTTAGTCATTATTTAGTTCAAAATCTTTTTTTAGTTAACTTTTTTCAATATTTGAAATACCTTATTATGTCTCCAAGAGGGAAATTGTTTTTCTTCTCTCGAAAAATTTCAAATTATACCACTAAATTATTTGTGTTTCGTCAAAAGATTTTACATTTTATAATTAATAAATATTAAATTACAGTCAAAATATGTATAAATGTTTCTTCGATCTTAATTAAAGTATAAGTAAATAAAATAGTATAAAATACAAAAAAAAATTTAAAAATTATGTGTTTTAAAAATATTATTTTATGAAAACTACAATTCATGCTGCGTTTATTATTTATCCAAAACAGTTTTACAAGAGTTATGTCGTAACAACAAAATGTATGACCATGCTATAAACTAGAATAACAATACACTTAACACGAATAACACTTACCTCATGTTAATCAAGTATTGGGCTAATGCTACAGAATCGGGGTTTCCAGATATAGTGATGGTTCGGTCGCTGCTGGTGCTTCCTTCGCGATCTTCACAATTTGATATACGTATCATAGCTCCACTAATTTGTCTAAAATATTATATATTTTTAAAGCCATTTTCATATAACACTTGGTATTGATTAATTAAGTCAATAAATAATACGCAATTAACCAGTGAGGATCGTAGTATACAACAATATATTAAAAATTTAATTATTAAAATCAGAAAAAAGAGAAAATATTAATATGTATCAGGTACAAGGTTGGCGTTTTCTTACAGGAGTATTTGTTAATATTAAAAACTTAGTAAAAATTATAAAATATATTTACATATTTTTTATGTAAAAAAAAAATAACGATTACCAAAGAAATTAAAAATAGACATGTTATAAAGAAGATTATAAAAAGTATAATTTGATAGTAAAATCTCCATTTAATCTTTTATAGTTAAATTTTTAGCATATTATAAAATTTGTAATAAAATGTGAATTTTTTCGTTTTTAATTTACGGTATTAATTGTTATTTTATGTGGATCAAAAAAAAGATAGAGGTAATATAAAATGTAGACACTAATGTTATTTATACGTTTGGGAGTTTTTCTATGAACATTTTACCTAATTTCAGCTATTTTAGTTCCGCCTTTCCCAATAATACAACCGATGAGATCATTTGGTACTGTCATCTCATGTGTTTGATGATTTCCACCAGACCTACTGTTTAGATTATTTCCTGTGCCATTAGATCGCAATTGACTTCCAGCTAAAGCTGCTAAAGCTAGAAAAGAAAGTAGTTTCTACTTGTTTTCTTATTTTAATAATTGTGCTACTTAGCTACAACTTGAAATTGTACCTGCGGGATTGAATGAATTGGCAGGACCACCCAAAGTGCCTAATCCTAAAGCTGCAAGACCGGCTAATGGATTACTTGTTAACTTACCCAACTAAAAATATATAGAAATCTATTTAACGTAATTTTTCAAGAATAGTGAATTGCCAATATTAGATATTAAATATTAGATAAAAGTTATTTACATAAAACGATTCTACGTACTTGTGACGGACCGAAAGCATTTTTAAGTAATGGATAATCCAAAGGATCAATTAAACCGAGACTAGCCGCAGCTCCTGGTGTCGGTGGAACCATTAACATTGGTGTGTTGAATGGTCCCCCACCTACCATCATAGTACCTACATCACAACCTGCGGCTGAACCTGCACTGGCTAACGTAAATGCTTGTCCGCCTGCTAAAATGACTGGAGCTCCGATTTGAGGTTTAGCTCGGTATGGAATTGTTACGCCCTTCGGCGGAGACTAAAAAAATGAATTTATAATTAAATTACTAATATTGTATTCTAATATGATTTAGTTTGACATGAAATTAGATAACATTAAAAGCTCAATAAATTAACGAGTATAAATTAAGTAAAATTTTTAACGATAATGAGTTAATGTACAATAAAAATAGCTAACTAAGTGGTTTTCTATTTATAAGCTATATATTTAATCTTAAAAGTCCACCATTTTATAATATTTTAATATTTTGGATTATTCCTAGACCAATAAAATGTTTAAAATTAATTCTCTATAAATTTCTCAAGGCTGAACTTATTTATTTTGTGATCTTTAATATAAAATATTATTGATGTATTATTATATTAGTCTCACTTCAATCATTACTGCGCATATATGAAAAATACACTGAGTTATTGAGTCTCTTGTACCAGTAAGTGTGACAGCTCGTTCTGTAGATTGTGGCAAAACATCTGAGGCAACTTGTATCTGAGCTCCAGTTGCTTCTCGGATTTCTTTTATCTTATTACCACCTTTTCCGATTAAAGAACCGCACTGAGATGCCGGAACTATTAACCTTAGAGTCATACCACACTTTCCTATAATACTGGAACTGGTTTTTCCATTTTGCATTTCAATAAACTAAAAATTATTAATAATCTATTAATGTAGTTATATACATAAGTTGAATAGTCATAGGGCACCCCAATTTTAATGCTTTATAACAAAGTATCATAAAACGCTAATCAATGCTTAAAAAATAAACTATAATATAAAAATAATAATTATAAAAAACAAAACTACTGTCTTATAAACCAATCTTAGAGAGGGTGTGTTATTGATTACCACTAGTGACTAATAATACTAATGATAAACTAAGGATTGTACCATTGAAAAAAATCTCCAAGATCAGCATATTAAGTTCTGAACAAAATCGCCGAAAACTAATTTGTTTATATCTATATAATTTACATAGTATCTTAATGACTATGATCGGATTTTGCGATTAATATTTTGATAAAAATTTACAATGAGCTGTGTTGAATGAATAGTTTGAAACTTTTTAATCCCTGCACAAACCTTAAAATTATAAATTAATTAAATTGGTCATAAAAGCATACTTTTTGTTTGTATAAGTTCGAACAAAATTTTGCTCAGTTAAGACTTGATAAAAATTACGTAATTTTTTCTAGATTTTCATTTAATGACTTAGTTTTTTTTATTAGGAAGACAAAAATATATACAAACTAATTCGTTAATCAGAATCTACTCAATTAATTACAAAACTAAAGTAATTTAAGGAATATTTTTTTGGTTTGTTTTAAACAAACCAATAATATATTTCAAAAACAAATTTGTTCATTAGTAGAAAATTTCGTTATAATTGATTAAATAATTTATTCTATTGAACAATTAGTAGATGTTTTTGAAAAATGTGAAGCCACTGAGTGACTCACGGGTTCTTAAGGAAAAAAAAATGTGTTCTATTAAAATGATAAAAATGTCGTAAAAGCAGATGAAAAATTGGGCATGACCTTTAGTTGAGATATAGCACACTTAAAACAAAAAAATTTACATAAGATAGAGATCAAAATAATTTTAAATTATTAAGTAATATTTCTTTGAACTAAAAAAAAAATAAAAAGCACCAAAATTGGCAAGAAGATGAATTTCAATTTTGTTAACATGTTAACGCGTGTTGATTTATTAAAGGAATAGTTCATTAGGTGGATATATATTTATTTTATAATTGAATCAAAGTCGTTACTGAATATTTAAATATACTGATTAATGTATTTATTTTACATTTTACTTGATTCATTGTTCAATGATTACGAAATTTTTGTGACACCACTTAATAGAAAATTTTGGCAACGTTTTTATGAACTTCATTCACGGCTAACTACTAGTGCTTTTGTAGCGAATTTTAACCAATATAACAGTGTGATTCTAATGCTATCTAACAGATACTTACTGGTGGGATTCAAAAAAACGTTGCCGAAATTTCTTATTACAAAATCTATCAATTTGTATTATTACTTTGTATGTATTTAGTAAAAAATATATACTACTATTAATTATGTTGACTAAATATAATTACACAATATTGATTTTATAATAAAGACACTAGTCAATAAATATAATAGTTATGTATCAGTAATTTGTGGAAATATATTATTTTATCTAGGAAACACCACTAAGGCCAAATTTATCGAAACATTAAATTTCCTTTAAAATTAATTTTAGAGTTAACATAAACTAATTTTAAGCTTTTACCTCTTCAACTTTAGTGCATATTAATGAAAAAGCTTTATAAATAGCTTCGGTTGAACCAGATATCGTCACAATTCGCTCAGGACAAGAGCCGTCAGATATGTTGATTTTTGCTCCAGACTAATAACAATTGAAATAATAAGTATTGTAAAAATCAATATCTTGAATTAAAAATTTGAATTTTATATTTAATCAGATGACTTTTGGCTATATATGCACATTGACACTTATTTTTAGTTAGTACCCAAGTTCATTTTTATCTAAATTTGTAACAAAGTCTATAACTCATAAATTTGTTTATAATTGCACTGTTTCAAAAAAATTTAGTGAATTTTGAAAGTTAATTATAAAAATTGTTAAAACCTAGCCCATCTTTTAACCTCAGAAAATTTAAAAATTCCCAAGTAAAAACAAACAATTTTTAAACATTTTTTTCAAATCTATGCTATTAGAGGAAATCCCTTTAAATATTATGAATGACTTTATAAGACAATATTTAAATATATTTAAGATATTTATATGAAGATCTTTCCAATACTATAACAATGGAAAAAAGTTAAAAGTATAAAAAAATATGTTGCACAGTGGGGTCGCGGCACACTGTGAGCGTGGCATAGTTGAGATTAGTATAGATGATATCTGACAGTGATTAAAATCACTATCTTAAGAAACGCTTCGATGCAAATCTGTAGATAATGTTTAATTTTAAGAAATTGGTGAATAATTCAAAAGCAAAATTCTAACTCAAAAATAATTAAGGAAAAATTGCAAAAACTAATTGCTACAGGCAATGATTTTTACTAAATCGGCAAATGTTCGTCGCATTCGTTTTTTGATAAAATTGCCAATTTAAGCTGATTCGAATGTTAAAATTAATTTTAAATAAGTTTAACTTTATATTCTATGTCAATTAGTTTTATATAATATTCATGAAAATCAGTGTATCTCATATAAAGTATATTAAAACAAATTAAAATACAATACCAAGAATTTTAACACAAAAATAGCATATTTTTGAATATGATAATAACTATGTTCACTATATATCGAAATTTTTTTCTTCGTAGTATAGAATATTACATAAGATTTAATTTAAGATTAAATAAAAGTGTCAATATTTTCGGAATATTTTCAAATCTTGAATTAAATTAAAAATGTCGAAATTTACCAATTTTAAAAATTGTCAATTTTGAGGGTAATGAATTTAACTAAATACAATTTGTAATCATTTGACGTATCGTAGAGAAAAATCGGTCCAGTGAAAGCTGAGAAAAAGTAGTGACAGACGCAAAAAAAAAAATGAAAAAAAATTAATAAACATATCATGATAAAATTAATATCTTCTCAGCTTCGCCTCGAAGCAAAAATGTATTCTTTTTATTTTAAAAGTAAGTTTTTAATTTCACGTACAATGGCCGAAAATATTTTGTCTTATTATATTGGTTTTTTTTTATGACACATTAATTGTAGATTATGGGGGTGTAGAAACGTATATTATAGTGCATGGAGTCCCGGATGCCAACAAGATTTTCTAATTGTTGGTATCTGGTGTTAGTAAGCTGTAATACCCGTCTGGTCCATTGCCCTAGTCAAAAACCATCTTTAACTCTCTAACTTGTGAAAGAGGGCCATCACCTTCTGTAGCATGTTAAGTTCGGGAGTTAGAAGCATGTAAAGTCATTTATTAATTGTACATTTAAGAATATATGTTCAATTCACACTTAATACTCACCTCTTCCCTAAAACGTTTGACGATCTCACCTTTTTTCCCAATTATACTGCCTACTTCCTAAAAATATGCAATATTATATTAATTTAACGTAGTTAATCACTGTGCAGAATATAATATAAGTTTACTCCAAAGGGTATTTATAATTTTTTATGATGGTGAAATGTTTCATTAAATTTATTAAAAAACAACAAGCCAGTACAGGGGGGTCGTGGCACAGTGGTGACGCGGCATAGTTGGATCAAGTATAATGATATCTGACAGTGATTAAAATCACTATCAAAAAAAAAAAAAAACGCTTCGATGCAAATCTTTAGATAGTGTTTAATTTTAAAAAATTGGTGGATTATTCCAAAAGCTACATGATCTGCTATTTCCTTATTAATATTTTGAATGAAAAAGGAATTATTAAAAAATGTTATTTCTCATAAAAAAATTGTGTTGATCCATACACTTTTCAATAAGTTAAAGCATTATAAAGTTAAAAATGTAAAAAATAAAATCAAGAATTTTCAAACGAAAATAGCATTTAATAGCTATTTTCACCACGAAGACAAGTTTATAAGTCAAATTTTTTTTTCCATAATAAAGTACATTACATTAGCTTTAATTTAAGATATATATAAAAGTTTCAGTATTTCCGGAACACTTTCAAAAGTTAATTTTTTGTGAAACAGAAGTCATTTTAAATCCCCTCCTGTGGGCAGGTTAGGTGTTAAATTTATAAAAAAAAAATATGCCAAATGATAGGTAAGGACATCAAGCATCTATAAAAAAAAATTATACTGATATGTTCATTTTTGAAAAAGATACGGCAGTTTTTAGTAAAAAAAATTGAAAAAATTAGCGATTTTTAAATTTGTAATTTTTTTGGAGGTTTCCCTCATTTACGGGGAACGAGGTAAATTTTTTCAATTTTTGAGGGTAATATCTTCGACTAGATACGATTTGTGATCTTTTGACGTATCATTGAAAGAAATCGGTTCAGTGAGAGCTGAGAAAAAGTGGTAACAGACACAAAAAAAAAAAAACAAAAATCATAGTAAAATTAATACTTTCTCAGCTTCGCATCGAAGCTAAAATATGTAGTATTTTCCATTTGTTAAAATCTTATTACTAAAAGCGAAAACTTAAAAGTAGTTTATAATATTTCAGACTTATTTTCCAATAAAATTTTGTAAACAAAAAAAAAAAGTATTTATTAATTAAATAAATATTTACTTATATTTGTTAAGGGTAAATATAAATTAGTCTAATTTACTTCAATTAAATCACTATAAATTTTACTATACATATGATCATTATTTTGTAGTAATGCTTTAATTTCAAAAATAGTTGTTTAATGAAGTATATATAATTAATAAATTATGAATACTTATGAAATTACCAGTTTTCTTAATTTGTTTAGTATTTTATTATTTAAATGAAAATAAAAATTTTATTTTCATTTCACTGTAAGCTTTTTAAGAAATTAGACGTGTTTTATGTTTTGCTCTTTTTTCTTTGGTACGATGTTGATGTACAATAAGTGTAATACACCAGACTCCGTTAACGGTAGTATTGTATGTACAGAATATAATTTTATATTTAATACTGTACAATAATTGTACTGTAAATAAATTTAATTAAATCTTGGATTTGTAGCTATTGTGATTTTGTTTATATTCAAAAATCTAGTAAGAAGAAATTAGTTACTATTATGGAAGTTTATAAAAATCCATGGAATCTAAACCTAATAATGTTTCTAAACATTAGCTTAATTAACCGAAGAGAATAAAATATTAAAATCTAGACAGTTAGTAGTTGAAAATGATCAAACATTGCCAACTTAAACAAAAATATTTTTTCTGAACTTTTTGAACGTCAATCTCGATTTTGAAACATTTAAATTTTTAATGCTGGTGTTAATCTTAATATAAATTATTTAAGATCCTATGTTAATTCTATTTTTAATTCCGTTGAAATTTATATAAAGCCTATAAAAGTACAACACCTAGATAAATATTCTAGCAAACCATTATCAATTGTTTATGACAGATTTTCTACCGAGAAAACTTTTACAATAATTGGTGGGTATATTTTCTGGTATTTAATAGAAGATACGTTCTAAGTAAGAAAGTGATATTTTCATTTTTATAATGCATGCTGATTCGTTTATTCCAACCCATCTTCCAATTACTTACAAGATGAAAATAATAGTACTTTTTAGTACCTTGTTATGGTGTCAAATTTTTATTTTTAATGATAACATACATAATTAACTAGTTTATAAAATATGAAATAATCAAATAAAGTAAATTCCTGATTCAATTTTTTATTTAGTATTTCTGAAATTATTACTATTTTAAAATACAGACTTTAGGTAAGGTTATGATTATTTTCATGTTATTAACATTCTTATATCTAGAGAGGAGAGGCCGATGTATATAAGTAATATATATATATTACTTTCTTTTGTATAAAATAGAGAGTAAAATATTACAATATTATATTTTATTATAAAAATCAAACTTTGGAATCATTTTTTCACAGTTTATAATTATGTAGATTAAATTTTAAATTTTGTCTAATTGTTGCGTATGTTATTAAAGTACACTTATTTTATATTGATTATAGAAAAATTAAAACTACTAGGTGAGTTTATAGACAAGACAAACCTTACAAGGTTTCTATTATGTAAGAGTAATAAGTTATAATCAATACTAAATATCAAACATTGTGTAAGGTTTCTTATAATAGTTAAAGGATGAAGAAAACAAAAAATAATTATTAACAAAAATTAATAAAAACATGTTGTATGTCTTTTTATCGCAGCTCGTATATTCGTAGCTTAATTCCAAAAGCTGATATGGCAAAAAGTTGGGATTTGATTTTTTTTATAGTGTACAAGGTGTCCACTAGGTTTTAATATCTTTAATAACTTTTGACCTAGTAAATGTTTTGTGTTATTTATTTTAATTTTTATAGTTTTTGTTTATACATATATATTTTATATGTTAATATACATATATATATTTTTAATAATAAAAAATTAAGATAATTTTTTTGTGTTTTCATTATTTTGAAATCTCAAAATAACCAAATTTTAGCTCTTTTTTATATATATAACTATGATTGAGCGATATGAACTTTAGGATAAGGATTTTTTGAGTTACAAATCTTTTAATACATATCTACTTTATGTAGGTATATTGTCTTATAAGTAATTTTTATCGTAGTCCGATACTATAAAAATTTAAAAAAAAAATGTTTTAAATTAAAATTATATTAAAAATATTAATGTAAAACTAAACAATAATTAACTCAAAAAGCCACAAGATAATTACTAAGTAATCGTGGATACATATTTCCGTATATTACGTATATATTCATGGTCGATAACTATGTATTATAGAAACTATTTAAGTCCAGAACTTTCCATTATAGCCCTTTGAGTCAAAATTAAGTTATTTTTTTTTATTTTTTGTATTATATCGAAGTGTTATCATTTGTTTGGCCATTTCAATTACATCGCGACACGTTTATGGTAGCTTAAAAGAAGTTTATTATTATTTTCTAGTAGTTTTGCATTTTGAAATTAAGTCGTTTCTTAAATAAGTGATTCAAATATTGGTGATGGAGTTATTATTAATAGATTGGAGGATTACACTTGTGTTTTTCCTTGTATCTAAATTTATTAATAACTAGGGTTATTTGAATATATTTTTTTCTATTTATAAACAACTTATGTTAACTTATATTAAGATAATAATTCTCATATTTTACCTTTCCTTGCATGATAAGTCGAAGTGTGAGGTTAATATTAGAATCATCTTTTGATTTGGCGTCCATTTGGTCCTTTTGTTAAAATCCCTGTATTTCTATATTAGTTACTGTAATATAAAACATAATTATATAGNTGGTTATATTAGTTACTGTAATATAAAACATAATTATATAGCAATATATTCAAAAAGTATTATATACAAAATGAATAATATCATTTAACTAGATTAATATTAAATTTAAAAGTATTTCGATAATAACAGTTTCAGATTAGCGTTCAAAGATTTTCAGTAACACAGTAATACAGGTAACCAAATTTCTGAACTATAAATTTTTTATCACATTCACAAAAGCTGCCAGTCATGTAAACATTTTTTAGTTGAAAACTGATATTTGATCAACTTGTATAAACAATTTGAAATTATCAACATACAAAATTTTAAACATGATATATATTTCTAACTGACCTTAAATAATTTTTCAATAATAATTAATCCAAGACTTCATTTTCGAAAATGCAATTTAAAATAATAGTTTACAAGTAATGAAAATATTAACTGTATCACAATATTCATAACTCGTTAAATACAAAATTTAATGCAAGTAGTTCATTTGTTTTGTAAAAGTAGTTTCAAGTACTACTAAACAAGTTGAGAGAGAAGGAGGTTTTGCTATGTACTTGACAGTTTGTGCACGTTTTTTTTTTTAGTGTGCATAGTGGCTGTAACCACTATATCTAACTCTAACAGCTCTAGAAATAGCTTAAAAAAAAAAATAAAACTTTTTTGTTTTCACTTGGAGTCTTTATTTTTTGGTTTTACTCGCAAAACATGAACTACAAACCAAGCTGTATACCATTCTTCTTCTGTCCATTACAAACATTGTTGAGTAAAATTTTTTGACTACACATAATTGTATCCAATGATGAAGCGAATCCCAAGTTATACTGTTGAAAACGTACTCTTTTTACTTAAACGGAATTTTAAACTAGTTGCTAAATAATGATAAAAATGGTAATTTCTCACTTAATCGTCGACCTTCAAGTCAAGCTAAAAATTGTAATATTAATGTAGTAAGCATAGTAATTACTATGTTTATTACACTTTGCACAAGTAAATAGAGTTTTTAGGTATCAAAACGAACGAGGTAGCGATATAATTATAAATACTTTTATGGATTTTGAATTCCTATGCACATAGCTATAAACTGAAACAAAAATCATGAGTCTATAAATATTTGACCCTAATTTCCAAGGATAGAAAGTTGTTCGATTTTCTATATTTTTCCATAAAACCTTTGTTAGGGACTAGTTTAATACTTGAGGATAAATGTTTTTACACCTTTTAAGTGAGATAAATATTATATCTTAGTTTCTTATTTTTGTACATATATATTGTCCAATGATATGATATACTTCTTCAGCCGCCTTTATCAACCCAGAGGCTGCGACAGATCATTCATACAATAGGTCTAGTGTTGATTATCAAATGTTCAGTATCTAATAAAGTTTAAATTTAAACATTCAAATGTATAACAAATAGTGCTATAGTAATTTGATTATTATGGAACAGGTAAATAAAAATTCATTAAATAATCGAGTGAATCGAGTTTTGGTCTACAACAGTGTAATTTTATTAGACATACAAGTAATAATTACAACTGATATAGAATTGTCAATTATAAAAACAAAAGTTTTAACAATAATAGTTAAAATATATTTTTATTAAATTTTAAAATGTAATCACAATTACTAAAATTTTAACTTAAAAATGCTATTGCTCCATTTATTTATTTACGAAATTTAGTATTTTTATTTATACAAGAAAATTAATTTAAATATTATAGATGGAAATCAATTTCGGAATTATTTATTTATTAATGTTATATGATGTCCATCTAAATAGTCACTGACTACTTGATATGAAAAAAAAGCAGTTTTAAAAATTATAAAAAACCAAGTATATTATCTCAGTTTCCAGAGTTCATTGTTGGGAAAATCGATATTAACGTTTGTTCTCAAAAATGTTGACGGTATAATTCATCGTTATACAAGGTGATTCTTTTAATGCTAGAAAATAGATTTCTCTTTAAATAATAATTACATAAAGATAACTATATTTAGTATTTTTTAATTTAATATATTTCTTGATTTATCAGTTATTACTTACTCGTTTAATTCATTCTTTATACTTTATAATGGTGTCAATTTTTTTAAAACTATTTTTCATATTTAACTAGCTTATGAAATAAAAAGTAATCTAATTGATAAAATGATTGGTCCATAATAATTTTCGATCCATTATCTTAGAAGATATTATTTCAAAGTATAGATTGGAGAATGTTGCGAGTAATGTAATATTTATCATTAAACATCTCTCCTTCGCCTTAAGTATAAATATGTTAATAAATTTTAAAGTACTGGTCCGATATTTGATATCGACCAATAATTTTCTATTTCGCAAGCTAGTTAATATGCATGTTGCAATTTAAAAAAAATAAAGTTGACATTCCTTTAAGTTATAAAAGATGATTCTAAAAATGAATTATTAGTTGAGAACTTAGAAAATATACGCAACTAAATGAAATCAAAATTTTTGTTTAAATATTGTATTTATTATGCGAGTAATTGAGTGGTTTATGATAAACCGATTATTCTATATATCAATAGCATTCTCAGAGTTTTGTCTTAGAGAGGNCGATTATTCTACATATCAATAGCATTCTCAGAGTTTTGTCTTAGAGAGGTATATCCATAAGATATATTACAAATCTCATCGAAATATATTTCCATCATATAATGTAAGACTGTGTAATAAGGAGAGGTATTAAATTGTTGACACTGTTTAAAATACCAAAAATTTAAAAAAATTAGATTGGTCTTATGGGGCATTTTAAACGTTTTAAAATGTTTACCCCTTTTTATATAACCTCCATTTCATTAAGTAAACTTGGGTACAAAACTGAATAGATATAACTAAAGTTTGGTCACATTAATATAGACGCATTAAGAATATATTCTCTTGACAGTATTAATAAATAATTAATTGTAAAATAGAAAATCTTATGTCAAAATATATGATGGTATATTTAATGCATATACTTGTTAATGATCTTATACTGTGATAATACTATTGATTTGAAATTATTCTTAATTTTTCATCTTTCAGTATACTCTGTAGTGTCAATTTTTTAACATAATTTTACTAAATTTTTTAGTATTTTACTTTAATAAAAACTAGTATTTTTAATTATAAAAAACAACTAATTAATGTACATCCAATACAATAGTATTGGCCTTATTGTGTTTAAATAATAGTATGTAAACAGTTTTATAAGACTATGCCGGGTAGTCATACAGACAAGCATCAAAGTCGAGGGAAAAATTAAAAAAATGGAAATTATAGATAGGTTTCATCTGCCAGTGGCTTTATAATTGTGTACCATAAATGCTTTTACTAAAGAGGGCATCTACCATTTTTAGCATGTTAAAATTATGAATTATATTAAAAAATGCGTTTTATATTTGTATTATAAATATAAACATTTGCGCTGTTAAAGAAATTATTTATGTTTTTCTACATTTTAATTAGTGGCTAATTGATCCATATATTATTGAAACATTATCAGTCTCGCATGATTTATGTATTATTATTATGTAGGCCAAAGTTTCATTGTTGCTGCTAGACACCAGAGGTTATAAAATCTGTAGGATCGATGGCAAACCACCTCACGTGTTACGCTCAACTATCGATAGTGAATAGGTCCACGGTAGCGAACGATGTATCCCGGGCGTCAAGCCGTCTACGTCATCCAAGTGTTACTCCGTTGCCATTGGCGACCGCGGCACAGATGCAGGAAGGCAAGACGGTGAGGTGGTGAGGATGCAGAAAGTCCCGTCGCGCGCTGGTCTCATTGATTCATCCCACGTACAGCTTCCTTGCCCGCCAATACCTACACTACTCAGAACCATAGTATTGGGCCCTATTAGCAATGTGGCGCACAGGAACGGCTCTCGGGCTTTTCGTTTTGCACCTACGGCTAACTCCATGTCGTCCTTCCGTAAATACTGTCGTCCTAGCAACGGTCGACGTGTAGCCGAACGATGGCGACGATATCGCGCTAGCCTTGTAGGCGCCCGCGCTCACTGGCGACGCTGTGGCTGCGCTCGCTCTCGTATTTCCCAAGAATTAACCAAAATATTATGCGTAGGTGGTGGTAGATCGTCTGAGGTCCGAACAAACATGTGACCCTTTTGCGTTCTTTCGCAAGTTCACCAAACACAAACGTTTATCAAGCAACAATGAAATCCCTGGCGCGTTATATTACGTGTGACTTTGCAAACAAAATCATTTATGAATTTAATAAACAAGTTTAACACTCAATAAGAGTAGATAATTTTAATTTACTAATAAGTATTAATATTATATTATAAAAAAAATCGAAACTACTGAATAACGTAAATTGTGAACAGTTGAATTTGAACTTTGAAATAATATTAATCGACGGATTAAAAAAATCAATTACGATACTAATGATTACTGTAGACGTTTTATAATTCACTATTATAATAGTACTAATAGAATTATTAATCCATAAAATTAAAAAATAAATAATCGATAAATATCTACAAGATTAAGACAGTGAAAATACAAAAATCTGTATTAAAAATTTGAAATTGCAGCAATTTTAGCGAGATAATTTTTGATATGTTTTATACAAAAGTAAAAAACACAATCACTAGCTTACCCTGATTTTTTTAAGATTTAAAACTCAATAGTATCAATAAATATAATTTTGCTATAATCATAATCGGACATAGACTGTTTAACAACTCAATCACGTCTGAGCGACGGCATACGATGATTGTTACCTTAGTTAAAACTTTGCTTTGTTGTCTGTCGATTCAAGTCCATTAAATTTCCACAGATGTAATGATCAAAAAGTCTTTACTTCTTCCTTATTATATTCTCTTTTACTGGCTTGAAGTGATTTAACTACAATTTCAAAACAACCTTGTTCGTTTATATACCTGAAAACAATGATTTCTCAATATTATGTATGTTACAAAAAAAATAATTATTATTTACAGGTCATATGTCAACCTGTTATGTCAATTTCTATCTAAATCGCTAAATATATTTATTTAAATATTTTTCAATTGGAAGTACCATATACTTATACTACTGTGTAACGTCCTTTCAATGGAATCATTTTTCTGATTAGAGAAAGTTTTCCTTTAATAGAGGTTAATTTGAATTTGTAGAAAAACAGAACCATATTTTTCCGTTTAAAATAGGTTTCCGTCTAATAGAGAGTCCATTGAAAAGTGGTTTCACTATATATGAAATATAAATAGTAAAATATAAAAAAAACACTAAAAAAAATCGTTATTTTATTTTAATAACACTTTTAATTATTAAAAATGTATATAATTAATACTTTATTATTAGTATTAATAATATAATAATTGTAATTAGACATTCCTGTTTATATGATTTTTTTTTTGGGTTGGTGAAGATATTAACATTCTCAAATTTTGAGATAGTAACAATTTCAAGGCAAGTACTAATAGCTATTCATAATACTCGGATTATAAAGTTGAAACTTGAGATAAGATACCCATAATTACCCCGATAAACGATAAAAATAGTGACAAAGTAATTAATATTATAACATTTATTTATTTTTCAAAAATAAATAAATTAATTTTTTAAGTTTCTTACAAAAACATTTTTCTCCTTCTTGAATTTCATATTTTTTAATTCCTAGGCTACATTTATTAAATATTTTTAGTATACACATACAGAGCGTTTAATAAGTAAGAAAAAAATTTACCATCATCTCCAATGTTCATAATAATTAATCTCTTTCCGTATTACATAAACATCCTATTTCTCTATATCTATCAATGAAAGAGCTATTGTCAGAGATTTCAATAAAGTATTTTTTTAGGTAGCATTAAGTCTAAAGTTTATCTAGAAATTATTTTTAAAGGTAATATCTGTTCAAAACTATTTTTTTTCTTCTTATTAAAAAAAAAACAATCTGTACATGAAAATTTACAATAAGTTTTTTTGTTGACTTATTCAATTACATAACATTAATAGCGTTAAAAGAAGTCACCCATTGGTAACACCTCGATTAGATTTAGTTGAAGCTGTATACAAGTTATGGTTTCATTGTTGTCGTTAATTTGTTAAGTCAATTGGTCTCGTTCCATTTACGTTTGAGTCTTCGTGGTGGGTTGTCAGGTATTGAAGTTGTGTACTAGATCAAGCTGATTAATTTATCGTTGATCACTAATATCTTATAAACACATTTTTTTATATTATCAGTCATTATACAAACTAGTTAATTATGTATGTTAAATAAATCATTCACTATATATTATTCTAAAAAAATCTAGCTAAGAAATTACTCGTTAAGAAAAGGTATTATCACATGTTAAAAAAACAAATATTTCGTTGATTAAGATTAAACACTAGTGTACCTAAGGCTTAAGTAATTAATTAAGTTGTTTTAAATAAGTGAATTTTCCTGTAAAATTAATGCTAACTTAACGAAGCAAAAAAAAAAATTGTTTGTTAACTTTCAACTTAATAGTTTTGAAATTATCTTAATAAATGAGTTTAAAAAAAATGTGTTAACTTTTCCAGCCTTTTTTGTACTCAGCTGCATTATATAGTGTGTTCAGTAATTAAGGAAACGGTCTTATATTATCGTAATTGTTTGTAACAGCTGACCTGTTTCCTTACTTACTGATCATACTGTATAAATGTACAAGGTAATAAACGCTTTTCTGGAAAAATTACTAGCGTGCTCCGATTTTCAAATTTTTTTTTTCAACGAATGTATTTGGTTATGAAACTTTGAGAAAATTATTGGTAAAGGTCGGATCATTTTTGCCGATCATTTTATACTTTACCAGTTTTCGAATTGTACATAGAAAGGAAATATTATAAACAATTTTAGGTTAGTATAAGAATTTATAAATTTTCATTAAAACATTATTAATAAATTCATATCACTTAATAAAATAATAAAACCAAAATAATGAATTTAAATAATAATTTAATTTAAACAAAATAGTTAAACCCATGAAAAACAAGGAGAAGATAAACCCAGATACTGAAGCTTTATCATGGATAAATATAAATCTCTATGAATTGAATTATATGCAATTTAAAATTACATATAAAATATTAACTGAATACTAAATAAATAATTTACTGTATTAATGGAACAAAATCAAAATTAATTAGTAGCATGACAGACCCAACTATGTCAGGGTTTAATGGGCATATCATCGCCGTCAATGGGTATACTCTGCATTTATATAAAGAGAAAATTCAAGGAGATGTTCACTATGTCCATCCTGATCGCACCCGAAAATCTTTGGGTACGGTTAGGTTGAGTTTTATGAGCATAGAGGTTGGAACTATCTGTAAGATTAGGTTTATTATATTGACGAACAAGAGTTCAATGTATTAACGAAAAGATGTATTGATAAATTAATTCAGTATATTGGATCAACAGTTTCTGTTAATTAATATTTCATGTTATGTTTTGTTAACTCCAACAAAATTATTGACATTGAAAATTTTGAGTTCATTGTTTCAATTAGCAGATTTAGTGATCTAAAATGGCTAATTGTTGAATTAAAGAATTAAACAGTTTTTTTTTTAATATCTAAGTTTTAGCTTTATACATAGTGTTCAAAAAGTATGGAAACAGACCAGTAAGGAATTGTTACAAACAATGAGAATAATAAAAAAACATTTTCTTACTTATTGAACACCTATATATTACAATAAATTAAAGTTCAAGTAGTGTACTGCAAGTTAAAAAAAATTGTTACCACAACTTGTCTTCAATACAGGAATTGGATCCAAAATAAAATATGAGTTCGGGTTGAAATTAAAGTGTTCAAAAATAATTAAATAAGATTCTGTTAAGATTCTATTTTTTAATTTTGTTAAGGGTTCCAAAACTGATGTTAACCAAGTTTAAACATTTTTCGATTATTAGCAGTATTTTTTGTAAAAATAAAATTTATATTATTATTTCATAAATACACAGAAAAAACACATAATTTATCATTGGGGTTATGAAAATTCAAATTATTATATTAGGTAAAAATAGGGAGGAGACGGCTAATTTAAATTAAAACGTTTTACATTTAAATTTGTTTATTGTTTTACATATTTTTTTTTAACGTTTTTTTTTAAGAATAAACATTTTTTATTTTATTTTATATGTTTAATGATGTTTCAGAATAAATCGCATCGAAATTTTTAGGTTTTTCGTTTTACAGTTATATGATTCTTTGTTGTTTTTAAACATAATAATTTTAAAGTTGTAGAAACGTTTTTAAGTAGTGAGGAAACTTATAATTTTAGAAACAAAATTGAAGTACATCAAGATTCAGTTCTCATTAAATGAGGTACTTTAGATATTTACTATTCCACAGTTTTATAATACTATTAAGGCGGGTAATCAATGGATAAGGAGTTCGGCGATAAACAGAAAAACAGGACAGGTATTGAATCTTGTAATTCATTTGCTAAAGAATTCTGACTGAGCCCTAAGTGTTTCCTCAAAATAAATAATCATTTAATGCATGATTAAAATTATGATAAAATTGAGAATGTTAGGTCATAATGTAAATCACTAAAAAGTACGATAAATAAATGAATATATTGAAACTAGTTCATCAATTACATCAAAATTTTTCTTCTAATTTAAGTAAATTAACCAAATAGTTGGTAGAAAGGAGGAAAAGATAGTATACTTTTTATTGAAATTATGAAAAATGAGAAAAATGTTCCGATTTTATACAAATAAATGAAGCTGAATTAATTAAGAATATTAATATAAGTTTGACTGTACGTCATAAATAAACTATCACTAATTAATTTTTTTTGTAAATAATTGAGTTAATTAAAAATTTAAAAAAAATACGACTAATGAAGTTTACCTCTGAGATACAGCTATAAGTGATAAAAATAAAGTATTAAACAGAGTAACTGTACGTAAAAATATTGAAGTCATATATTTCAAAATACCTTTTTTCAAGATATGTACTTTTTAGACTCATTGTGTAATAGAACCCAATCTAACCAATATACATTTAATTGTATTGATTCTAAATTGTTCTTTTATTGTTGGGAGCACCCTCTTTCCAGTTGGTCCAGTGAAACTGTTTCAAATGTCATTTAATATTTATGACCTTCATTAAATATTTAAATAATCTAGTATATGATTCATAAATTTACTGTTAATTATAACCTTTTATAAAACGAAACAACAACCGAATTAGATATTACTTTGAAAGGCAAAAATTTTAATTTAAAACTAATTTTATCATATATTAGGGTATACACGATGTGTTATAAGTATAATGATATTCGCTATACTCCACCTGCGAAATTTAAAAATACACCATTGATTTGTATTAAGTAAAATTAAAACTATATTAAAAATATTATTAATTTAAAAAACTAAAAAATATTAAAAATATTAAACTCAGTATGTGTTTAGCGTTGATAATGGTAACATTGTTTCCGAAATACGTATCCGCGACTTTTCATTAATTTTTTTGTGGCTTTGAGTTTAATATTTTTAATATTTTTTAGTTTTTTAAATTAATAATATTTTTAATATAGTTTTAATTTTACTTAATTAATTAGCCACAAGTGATCAATTTTTATTATATTGATTTGTATGTTAACCAAACGAAAATTATATTTTAAGAAATAATGGATACCAATTTGTTGTTTAATTCAGGTTAAATTTTTATTGCAATCGATTAAAATAAAACAACTTAACTTTGTCATAATAAAATAAAAATTTCATAAATTAGATTTATTATAATTTATTGAATTTTTATGTACTAAAAAGTAAAATATTAAATACTAAATGATTTAATCCAAAATTTATTAACATAATAAAAATATCACCCATGCCATTTTTAAATGTGTTGGATTACAATATATTAGAATAATACCGATACAGTTTTAGATGAATAGGCAGTTTTTATTTTTGTCCTTAGACTTAAAAAATTCCAACAGATCTTAAAGACAAACTGTACCTTTGCCAAAAATTACTGATAGGACATTCGATTTTTAATTATTCGAGACGTTCTTTATAGGCAATCTATTTTAGTGCTACAGTTGGTGAAAAAATTGCCAATGGAATCATTTGACTGTTAATTGTAATCGCATCATAGCCTCGTACACACATTAATGCAACAGAACCATTATAATTACATAAATAAACACATAATATATTATTATACTGTATTAATAGTATTGTTATCAATATATTTTTATCGGAAAACTATACTGTAAAATAAGGGCGAATTGCTAGAATTGTTGAGATATATTCTACTTTAACATAATTTAGTTTTGAAGTTAGGGAAATCTAATGACTTCGACTAAATCGTCGTCATCTCTAGATTTTACAAAATTTCAATTTAAAAACCAGTATAATTAATCGATTTTTTATATATTTTGTATGTTTCAATCAACCTTTTCATGAGGTCATTTACAACATTTCTATCAAAACCATACTAAAAGTAATTCAACCACATATTATTTGATTTTAAACTAATATATTATTTTTTAAATTCATATCTAGCATGTATAAATATGATAGGTGATTAATAACTTACATAATTCTAAATAACTTATGTTTATTTTTTGGGACTTGTTACTACGAGAATCCTGTACATGATTTATGGGCATTTAAATAATTGAATAAAATTAGTTATAAATAAAAAAATCAAATCTTTTTGAAAAATTTACATTATAAGGTGTTTTGCTACGTTAGCTAAAAAAATAAACAGAGTACTGAAATTGCTCCAAAACTGAAAATTTTGCACCTATCTATGTATAAAATATTTTTTACAATTAACAATTAAAAATCATTTTATTTTATTTTATTTTTATATAAATAAATAATATTTTTAGTTTTAGTGCTAAATTGAAATATCTATTATCGCATGATAAGATTTTCAATTGAAGTAGGATTTGGGTGCGTAGAATTTATTTATAACCAATCACTAATAAAGATATATAACTTCTTGGGAAATGTTTCGATCACTACGAATTTTTGTCCTATAAAATCGATATTTTGTCAGAAATTCAATGGTACCTTCATTCTTGTTACAGCACCAATATATAACTTTTGACAGTAAAATGAAACATAGTTTTCTTGAGATTCTCCTTTGTTCACCTTTTTGTTGATAAATGATAATGATAATGTTGAATATGGGTATATAAAATAAAAATATTGACGAATTTTTTATATCAATAATTACACAAATTTTTAAAAATATAATTGACGTAAGTGAATTAGTACAATGTATATCATATAAGGATAGGTATATTATTTACTCGATTTAGTCAACCATTTGGCCAATTTATCAAAAAACAAATTTGATGTCTTTGGATTATGTTAAAAATAACGACATTATATTAGACCAATAATAATGACTAAATACTGTAGTAATAACTAAAGAGAAGAGGCCATCAGATAATTCCTTGCTTATTTTATTATTTAAATTATTTATTTATAATAAATGATTATAGTATAATAATTATTATTAACTTATTTGATTAAAATCAAATAGTAAAGACAGTATTTTTCCTTTTGAAAGTCGCGAGAATAAGCTTTTCTATGAATATATTATTTTTAAGTCTACTTAAATTACACCAAATACTAAATAAATGTGTAATAATAATTGTAATATCTTTAAATACCATTTAACACATTTTCATACGTTAATATAAAACTCAATCTTAGAAGCTATAACGATTTAAGTTAATAAAAAGTAAAGAATCATTCATAATAAAAAATATATATCTTAGAAGGAAATTTGATTTGGAATAAAATTTCGTATGAAATTAAGCCCCAAAAGCCGTATTAATCTCATAACTATCTACTTATAAGCAATAATATGGAGGGATATAAAAATTAAATTTTCTTATGTATACCAATTAGTAAATCAAAATATTGTGGTAAATGTAGTTATGTAATAGTTAACTAACTTAGTAGAATATGAAAAAAATCTCTTTAAATGTTGAAAAGCCCTTTTATTAATTAAAAATTATCATTCAATTAAGATTTAATAGATTATTGTATAATATAAAAAATATAGTTATAATTTTCGATTTATTATTTCAATTGTACTAAAATTTAAAACAAAAAATTTAACTCTATTGTAAAATATACTTGAAAAAATCTATTTTATTTTATAAAAATTGAACCAAAGGTGTCATATTAAGCGCAAAAAGTTAAAGGGAGCCATTGACCTAAGTAAAACTGACGTAATTACGAGGGGATATGATAATATTCCTCGTGGTGAAAATAATTACATATTTTGACATATCTTAGGCATAACGACTTTTTGTAAAAAAAGTCGTTTCAATTTACTTAATTCAAATTTGTAAATGCATACAAATTTTTTTGCTCCCGTCTAGTAAAATTTTATGTATATTTTGTAAGAAACAGTATTTACCAATTAATTTGAACATAATTTTAAATAGTTTATTGTTTTTAATCAATTACCTCAAAATTTCCGTAATTTTGCAAATATAAAATGAAACCTAAATATAATGTTTTTCCAGAAATATAACATAATTATACATAACTACTTAATATTCCAGGAGTTTTTGTTTTATGCAAATATTTATGTTAATTAATTTATTGAATATTTATTTTTTCAGTATTCCACTAATAAGTTATGAGCCATGATAATATTTGGCCGGGGCAATAAACATAAAATGTATTTTCAGTTAATATCTTCGGTTAAATATACCATCTAATACAATTTATATTTATTTATGTTTACATTAAAAAAAAATCAACTTTTTTATTGGACATTTCGATATAGAAAATTTATGACAAGTACACTTTTTTAAAAATTATCATTAAAAATCTCATTTAAAAAAAAGCGGACTTATAATAACTATAGAGTATAGATGTACTAAGCTATGTAAGTTTTGTGTTGACCATTTAAATTAATTTTAATAATATTCATAAATTTTAAAATTGAAACAGCTGATGATGTACTACTGACCTTTGATTGACTTTCAATAGAATAGATACTATGATCTACAGGTATATCTGGTAATGAGGACCAGAAGCGAGGTAAGGTGCGTTTCTTAACGGTACTAGAAGTGATTGTGTTGTTGAATATTTCTGCTGCAATTTCGTCTCTAATAACAACGGTAGCCGTTATAATTGCGGACTGCAGTTATTGCTCTTCTGGAAAGGTAAAGGCGATAGCGACTTCGGCAGTAGCGGATGTGTTCTTAGGTATAAGCGAAAGAAGTCGTTGACAAGGAGCCAACCATATACAACTGGCAGATAAACCTATTATAACGCGATACTGGTAAGTAATACGCGTTGGTTGAAGGACGCTAACCGCTTGCCTGAGGATTCCAGGAAATGTATCCGAAAAAATAAGTCGTTAACGATTGGTTTAAGTTAGATGCACCGATTAAATATGTACAAACTTTCAGATAAACTTAAAATTATGTTGCCGATATGATGTAAACCGGAATTCGGTCGATTTATAATGCAGGAGGGACGGTTAGGTCAGCGGCGAAACAGAAAGTGAGGTGATTGCGGAGAAGGTGATGGACGCGCTCTTAGATGCGTGTGTTGTGACGATGATGGTGGCCGGGCACTATCTGTGTTGATGGGGCGGTACGCGCGCGCTTTTGCCCAGCCCTACATCAGTGCGTAGACAGTGGCGCAGCTTGTGGTTACTATAAACAACCATAGTCAAAGGGATTAAATATGTATTATATTTTTTCTTTAAGGTCTTTCATGCCAAATTACCTAAACCGTTAGTTTTAAAAGGTTTTAAAATTTGCTGAAAATACAATATTTTCTTTTAATAATTCATTAACTCCAAAATTTAAAAAAAAAATTTTAATTCTCCTTTTTTAGTGAATTATAAGTAGTATAAGTATATATCGATATATTCCTATTTTGCATCTTTAAATATCAACGAAAAAAATAATATGAACTTTAAACATAGAGAGTACTTTTTTTAAAAAAATAATTGTAATTTACAAGAATATAAAATTACACTTTTGGCTTAAGTCGATTTTATAAAGAGGATACTACTTCAAAAGTGGCAAAACATACACATGTTATAGGTTAATTATTTAAAATATACTGCACTGGTAAAAATGTAAACAATCTTTTTTTGAAAACAAAAATGAAAAATACATACAAACATTTAAAATAATACATATTATATTATACTATATAACTATCTAAAAATTTTTTTTTAATTTCTACGATCATAATATTTAGACGAATTTTACATGGAATTTTGACGTTGATTATAAACCTGACTTTAGATTCCATCACATCTAGTTTTTAAGATAACCACAAATTAGAAGTTCAAAATAAATGAACGATAAAATTAATAGAAAAAATTATGCATTGATGATATAGTTAATAGATATAGTTAAAGTGAAGAGAAGTGTCTGGTGTGTTATGCGATAAAAGAATTCCAATGAAATGTAAATTTTATAAGACTGTAGTGTTTTGAGTTTGAAAAAAATTTTTTAATCATTTAATTTTTATCTCATTTAAATTCAATAGTTTTAATAAATATCACGGATCCCATCACTGTAATCTCCCCCCTATTTGACGAAATTTCTTATTCATATTGAAGTCTTTTTACTATGTGATTTTTTTTATGGCTCTCGTTTATTTTCTTAGTTCTCATTTGACTAACTTTTTTTAACGGTACTTAAATGATCACAAATAATACACTCAATTGAGTAGATTTTTTTAACAACATTTTGAATGGCTTTTTTTTATTTAAAGTAAATCATTCAAATTAATTATGTTCTGAATATTTCAATTGTAAAATATTTTTAATCACCAAAAATTACTTAGAAATGATTATTATGATTTCTATTTAAGTAATCTATTATAATAAAAATACAAAAAAATATTGAGCTTTTCTGATAAATTTACAATTTCCTGACTGCATATTAATCTTAACAATACAATTTTTTTATTCTCATAAAATTTTCTTTTTAATAATGTAAATTTCAAACATGAAGTTGAGTTTAAAGTTATGGTAATAAATTCAACTTTTTTTTATTATAAACTTTCAAAAAATCAACTTTAAAATACCAAAAAATAGGTAAAAATAATATTTTGTACTGATTATTTTTAAAATATTAAAAATAAAAATGTATGTCACTTTTTTTAAAAATTGGACCATTTTCTTTTATACAGAATGAGTTTAAAACTTGAAACATACTTATAAAAAGTAGAACTTTTTCAACTTAACTTTTGAAAATGTTCCGGAAATATTGCGTCCAATTAAAGTTTACAATAAATACTTGATGAGTGTATATATTTGAAATAGACAAATATTTTTTATTATTTCATACTACTTAAATTGATTTACGTAAATCCAACTTTCCGAGTTGACGTAAAAATTTGATACAATAATTATAGTAAAAGATGCTGTATAATAATTTAACTCCTTATATGAGGTGATACTAGAGTGTAAGGAAAGTACCTCTAAGCGGTCCACCTAGGCAACGATTCAGTGATCCTCTAACTAATCGGCTAATCTTTCCACCACGGAGCTCGGGTCTTACACCCAAAGAAAAACCTCAATCAATTTTGATAAAGAAATTTTATCAAGGGTTTATGATAATGTTTTATAAATACGAACAAAATAATTATTCTTATGAATAATTATTGTTCAAGATAAGAAAAAAAATCATCATATTGATAAATATATCATAGATTCATTAGTAATGATATATTTATCAAATTGAACAATGAATTTATTATATAGATCGAGGTTTTTCTCTGGGTGTATATACCAAACGTGATAAATACCAATACAAAGTCAACTACCAAAAGGCCCTTTTCAGTGCTAGCCCTGACGATAACCTCGATAAATATCGATGGTTTGACTAGTGACAAGGAAATAATCCTAACAAAAATATGTAAGGAATCCTATGTGATATTATATTTATGAATGTGTTGAAACTTTCATGGATTGTCATATTATTTGAAAAGCTTGAGAATTTATCCATGTTTGCAGTTGATTGCTCACGTTTCGGACTCATTGCAGAGTCCATCTTCGGAGCGACAGTTACTGTTCGGTGGCTGAAACTATACTGGCGGCTAGTCTTGTTATCAGTCTATTTTTATACGTTGGTTGTTTATCATATCAGTTGTTTACCGTATCGGTTGTTTATCATACCTGTTTATGACTCATGTTGTTTACGGTATCTTGTTTTTGCTGATATTTTTGTTGACAACTATGTTTTTGGTTATTGTTGTTGTTTTTGACATTCTTGGCATTTTGGTCTTCCTTTTCTGCACCGACAGTTTATAATGACGACGAAGAAAACAAAGAAGATGAAAAGAAAGGAACTTTAATACTACTGTACATACAGGGAATCACTGACTGCATTTCAAGAATCGCACAAAAACTTAAACTAAGAACTGTTTTTAAACCGAACACAGTCGCAGGATCACTACTGCGGAACCCGAAAGATAAGCTATCAGAAATGCAAACACCCGGAGTATATGAAATACTGTGCTCTTGTGGTAAATCCTACATTAGACAAACAGGAAGAGCTTTTGCAACAAGAATAAAAGAACACGAAAAAGACGTGGATTACCAAAGGATAGAAAAATTCGCCGTAGCCGAACACGCTAAAAATACAGGACATGACACCCAATTCGATAAAGTAAAAATACTAAACAAAGAAACTCATATTGGCAAATGAATATACAAAGAGGCAATAGAAATCGAAAAATGTCCAGAGAATTTCAACAGAGAAGACGGATGGAAAATAAGCAAAACTTGGTTACTCATCACACACCAGACAAAAAAAAAAAACCAGCACAGGGGGGTCGCGGCACAGTGGTGACGTGGTATATATGAATCAAGTATAATGATATCTGACAGTGATTAAAATCACTATCAAAAAAAAAACGCTTCGATGCAAATATTTAGATACTGTTTAATTTTAAAAAATTGGTGGACTATTCCAAAAGCCACATTATCTGCTAGTTCATTATTAATATCCTAATTAAGATAAAGTATGTAGAATGAAAAAGGGATTATTAAAAAATATTATTTCTCATAAAAAAATAATGTTGATCCATACACTTTTCAATATGTCATAGCATTATAAAGTTAAAAATGTAAAAAATAAAATCGAGAATTTTCACACAATAATAGCATTCGGTAGCCATTTTCACCGTGAAGATAAAATAAAGTCCGAAATTTTTTTTTTGCATAATAAAGTAAATTACATTAGCTTTAATTTAAGATATATATAAAAGTGTCAGACTTTCCGGAACACTTTCAAAATTTAAGTTGAAAAAGTAAATTTTTTGTGAAAAAGTGGTCATTTTAAATCCCCCCCTGTGGGCAGGTAAAGGGTCAGATATAAAAAAAATATATACCAAATGATAGGTAAAGACATCATGCATCTATAAAAAAAAAATTATATTGATCCATACATCTTTCAAAAAGTTATAGCATTATAAAGTTAAAAATATAAAAAAGAATTTTTTTACAAAAATCGTATTTTTTTTATAAACTTTGATGTCTGTTTTCACCATGAAGATAAAATAAAGTCCGAAATTTTTTTTTTGCATAATAAAGTATATTACATTAGCTTTAATTTAAGATATATATAAAAGTGTCAGACTTTCCGGAACACTTTCAAAATTTAAGTTGAAAAAGTTCTACTTTCTACATGCATTTTTTAGATTTGAACCCCCCTCGTATATAGGGAAATGGTCGGATTTAAAAAAACAGTATGTCAAATGAAAGATGTATATAAATACTACTCCTCATGAAAAAATTGTACTGATCCATACATTTTTCAAAAAGTTATAGCATAATAAAGTTAAAAATGTAAAATACAAAATCGAAAATTTTCACACAAAAATAGCATTCGGTAGCCATTTTCACCGTGAAGATAAAATAAAGTCCGAAATTTTTTTTTTGCATAATAAAGTATATTACATTAGCTTTAATTTAAGATATATATAAAAGTGTCAGACTTTCCGGAACACTTTCAAAATTTAAGTTGAAAAAGTTCTACTTTCTACATGCATTTATTAGATTTGAACCCCCCTCGTATACAGGGAAATGGTCGGATTTAAAAAAACAGTATGTCAAATGAAAGATGTATATAAATACTACTCCTCATGAAAAAATTGTACTGATCCATACATTTTTCAAAATGTTATAGCATAATAAAGTTAAAAATGTAAAATACAAAATCGAAAATTTTCACACAAAAATAGCATTCGGTAGCCATTTTCACCGTGAAGATANAAGAATTCGGTAAAAATCGTATTTTTTTTATAAACTTTGATGTCTGTTTTCACCATGAAGATAAAATAAAGTCCGAAATTTTTTTTTACCATTATAAAGTATATTACATTAGCTTTAATTTAAGATATATATAAAAGTGTCAGACCTTCCGGAACATTTTCAAAATTTAAGTTGAAAGAGTTAATTTTTTTTGAAAAAGTTGTCATTTTAAATCCCCCCTTGTGGGCAGGTTAAGGGTTAAATTTATGAAAAAAATATACCAAACGAAAGGTAATGATATTACACATTTATATAAAAAAAAATTATATTGATATGTTCATTTTTGAAAAAGTTATGGCAC